TATAGGTCCTCTCGCTTTCGAAGCTTCCGCTCGGGGAAGCACGGCATGACAAGGCGGTATTTTTTTCGACCCCTTCGTCTCCTCTTCGGATATGTCAATCAGCAGAAACGTCGACGCTACGAGTCCATAAGAGAATACTGATTGAGTTTATCCATTGCCGGAGGGGCTTACGGGGAAAATGGTGCAAACAGAGCGGAGCATAACTCGCAGAAGTGGGCTTCATATTGTCGACCAAGTTCAGTCGTTCTCGAGAACTCATCTTTAGCCAACATGGTTCCTTGCGAGCAGACGAGGAATGGGAGCTCCAAAATTAAGAGACCACGGAGTGGATTCGGTGAAGACGAAGTGAATTCGGTAGATGGACGAGAAGTACAGTAAAAGCTCGTTACAACGAACCCCATTACAACGAATTTCTCAGTATAACGAACAAGGAATTTCTCCTCCTTTGGCCAGCTCGTCATACGGATAGTGCTGAGCGGCATTCGCTACTGCGAACACTCGGTACAACGAACCAGTTTCGTCGGTCCCCACGTGTTCGTAGTAACGAGCTTTTACTGTATACACGAGGGAAAATATCCGCTGCCGAGGCGAATTGCTGCGGATCGATGTCGGTGCCAATCCTCCTCTTGAATGAATTCCGGAGGGAGAGCTTTCTAAAAACCGGCAACCAAGGGAACTCCTCCGCGGGAGGTCCCGGAAATTGGTGGCACCGGAGTCGGAGGAACACGGTAGACTCGCATTTCGATCTCGATTCTTCACGTTCCGACGACGTATGAGCTTTCTATCGAAAAGAACGGGGGGTATAACGCCGGTTTTCCACCAAGTGTTCGGCGACCGCCGCACCGCGTTAATGCTGTCCAAAGAAAATATATCCTGCATCGGAACAACAGCGGAAATCGATGGTGCAGTATCTTATTAGGAGCCTCTATGCAAGCAAAAAAGAAAGTTTTGGCAGTAGCGTTTTTTCTCCGGCGGACCGGCGGCGCCCAGACCACCTACTCTGACCCGTCCTCCACTATGCCCTCAGCTGGGTCAAGACGGGCGCGCAGAAGCGCCCCGGCTTGCTGCCGGTAGGCAACAGCTGTCTCCAGTATTCCGTAGACGAGGCTCCACGAGCTCAGCGCTCGATAATTCGTTCCCTGAAACTCTTTACGCCTATGAAGCAATTTGGAAAGCCATTCGTTGGCCACTTGGAGAATCACTCCAAGGGTCAGCGCTCCTTCTTCAAGAGAACACCCATTCGCCTGGCCTGGTAGAGCACCGACAGGGCGCTTTTCCCCTCGTTGGGGGACCACCAGTGTGCCGTGACCTGGCACTGGGCTCATGCACTAGCCGCTCCCATGTCGCGAGCGAAAAGCCCATCTTGCCTCCGGCAATACTCCGAGCGAGAATCCTCCCTCGATGCGAAGTCATTGTTATTAAGGATGCCATGCAACTAGGCATGAGCCAATCAGCCGTGGCCAGTGAATGGGGTAATTTATTGGTCTCACAGGCGCTGCAACGTTGCTGCCTTTGAGAGTGTCGTAGGCTGAACGTATTCACTTGACAAGCACGTTGTCGTCATGATTGCCCGGGAATCCAGTGGGAGCCGCATCCGTGAGCGGTGTGATATGCAATTTTTTTTTCACGAAATCCGCCGTTCCGAGTTCCTTTGATGGGAGGTCCCCGGCGGATACATCGAACCATGGATCATTGCTCCACTAGGAAAAATCGTGGAAATACAAATCGATGGGATCCAAGCGGGGGTGCTAAGGTTACGAATCTCTTCTTCGGGTATACGCCCGATCAGCATGAGATTCTCGAAATTCATTAGCGATCGATGAGACGGCCTCACATCAAATCGAAGAGCGCCGTCCGAGCCTGTCTACGTCAACTCGAGAATCGTCCAATGTAAGTGTCGAGCCTATTGAAGTTCACCAAATCTCGATTCATGATTTTTTACGCCAGTAATGGTCACGGGCGACCATAGAAATTCCCGCTAAGAGTGGACTGCCCGCTCCACGATGCCTCGTTCCAGAAAGGAAAGTCAAGTCACGGTATAAGGTCATGGATCGACTCCTCGGAGCGTTGTCATAGGGTACATCCTCGGACCGAGAGCGGAGTACTTTGAAGTGAATTTGACGTTCCTGATAGGAGGCTATAAACGCGCAGACGCTTCCTGGCGGCGTCAGCTCCATGCATGACGTCAACTCCAAGCTACGCGAGAGATTATCGCGAGTTCCCGACGCAGTGAACAGAAGCAGGTGCACTCGATAATGAAACCAAATGAATATATCTGAGCCATAGTCTCTTCGTCTTGATGGCAGCCGATAAATCTGGAAATTCTCCAGCTCTATTTTCAGGCAAGCAGCGATTATATGCACGCTCGGGGACCAGTCACTAAGACCGAGCAGAGCGCTCATTGCGTCAACATCCTGGAGATCGGATTCCGAAGCGCCCAGCCGATCTTGACCTGCGGACTTCGCATCGCCTGCCTCGCTTGAAATGAAGTGGACCTCCGAAAATTTATTGCAATAAGTCATGAGGTTTGCGTACGGAGGTTTAATCGGCCTCTGATTCCATCTTACGCTGTATCGAAGAACCGGCGGCTCGGGAGAAATCAGGAATGATGAGGTGCGGGAAAGGAAGGCATTCATAGAAGCTCGGCTAGAAGCTCCTGAAATTCAGCTCAGTCGGGTTATTACTGTCCCAGGTCTGAAGAAGTCGAGTGCATGCGGGAATTCAGCTGATCGAGAATATTCTCCTTGGGTTCGTGGACTGATTCCCGATCACGACATCGAGAAAGCCAACGGTGTATGGGATCGATGATTATTCTGAGCGTTGAAGGTCGCGAAATGCGGGGCGGGTCTTCGCTGTTAGGATTCTCTTCCGGATTCGTGAGGGCAGCGTCCGGGAACGAAAATAGAGGCCCGCTCATCGAATCGCGTCATATTCTGTCAATGGGCCGTAATTTTCCCTGCGGATGTGACTCATGCGTCGCGGGGGTTCCCACCGCCTTGTCGGAGTCGGCGCTCTAGAGCGCGCGGGACCGGATCGCGGGAAGTCCATGTCTGAATGCTGGCAGCGCAAGCGCTCTCCTCCTGCGGAGATCGCGTACGAGCGAAACTTCGTCAGGGGATTTACCGCGATCCTTTTCGGAGCAGACGATGACGCCAGTTCTGTTGCTGTTACCACTGCCGTGGGTCGGTCGCTGCTGCTGATGATGACGGTCTTGGTAAGATCGGGACGACGGCGACGACGAGGAATGAGGAAAGAGCGGCAAACTTGGGTGAGAAGGATTGAAGCGAATTCTGCCGTAGTCTGTGTGACTGGCGTCGACAAGCAAGGGTAAGGGAAAATTTCGGTCGTTGGAGCCGCTGCTGCCACCGTCTCCGCAGAAGAACCTGGTCTTGGCCAAGCGCCGATTTCGCCTCCATTCGACTTCTGACACCGGTACAAGTTTGCCGGACAGCGATACCCAAACATCCCGGAATTAATTTCTGTGCTTTCTCTTTTGTGACGATCCTACTGGAATAACGTGGTGTTAGTGCTCTCGGATAACTTTCTCATCGGTTAGTAGAGTTTGTCGCGTGTTGGCGTGTCGATCCGCTATCCTTGACTACCGAAACCGAAGCGAGAAGACTCCGACTTCGGAGAAAATATTTGGCGACAATCCAGATCTCGGCTTCTCGATTTCTTCTACAGAGCTAGACCGAAACCGAGACGAAGAAAAGTACCATAATTTTCCCGCTCGGTCTCGAGCGGGAAAGTCTTCCACGCGAAATCTAATCGAGCCCGAACTCGGAGAGTCGGATGGCGCCGTATGAGCGAGGGTTGCGATTATCTTCTCGCCGATCTCGATTTTCTCCGGATCGGCGGCATTTGAAGACTCTCTCGTCCTCGGTTCCCGTTATTCGCGATGGACACGAGTGCAGACGAGTGCGAGATCGCGGTATCACCGGTTGCGCCGTGCATGTAATTGACAGATGCGAATCCTGGCCTCATAACTTATCCGTTAGGATTCTGGGATTGTGCGACGAGCTGTAAATAATTCTGACAACCTCAAACTCCGACTCGGGTGAGAGAGCAACTCCCAAGTTGCCGTTCGAGCAGATGTCGGCGTCGTTGACCACACTGGACTGTATACGGAATTTTTGGTGGAGCGCCATACGTCCAGGAAACAGAACTTTTTCTCGGTACGCTGCGAAAATTTGACCATGTGGGTTGTTCGGTTTTTCGAACGACATCTACTGGCAGAACCTTCCTCGCATCGCAAGCATAAGATTTGTGCAGAACACTCGGTGGGTCGTTCTCGTAGATTCAGAACGGTAGCAATAGTACAATCAGGTTGTTAGAGACGGCAGCGTGCCAGCATCAGAAGGACGCTTGCCGCTCAGGGGACTCGGTTCTGTCAAGGCGATCCTGTCCTTGTTGTTCTGATCTCTGCGGTGGTCACAGTTGAGTTCCTGGCAGAATGGGCCATTTCTGTGTCAAAATCCGCGCTGTTCGAACGACTTATGAAATAGCTCCGAAAAATGCGCGCTCCTGAGGCCGAAGGTGATCCTCGAATCGAACACTCCCCGTCTGGTCTGTGAGATTTTGATGATTGACCCGTTGAAAGGTTCCCTCCAGCCGACGATATCCCATCAGGAAAGTAATCTCGTGACGACCCTTTTGAATATGCACTCGAGAGTCTAGCTCTTCTTCGATGCCCGATTTTTAGCTCGTCCCGGAATCCTGAGTGATTCGGAGGCTTTACCGTGAATGGATAGAAGCCGTCCAGGAGCCAATGAGCAACATGTATTTTACAGTACCGTCTGTCGTTGGAATTTCAGTGTTTGTCCGGAGAAGCGTCGTTCGAAAGTGTCGGTGATCTGAGTGCTGTGGGTTCGTCTCTCTGGGAGCTCTCAGTGATTGAGGAGCGAGGTTACGCCTGTGAAGTGAGTCACCACCGAGCTCCAGCACAGTGAGGAGGTGCCAAGACTGATCTCCGAAGAATGAGTGCGCGAAGCTAACGGATAACCGCCGAAGGATGAACGGATATCACAGGGCCCTATGGAGGGCCCTGCATCTAGGGCTCACTCTGACCCTGGCTATTGGACTTGCGGCCGCACAGAGTATATCTCAGCACAACTTAGACAGTGAGTACTCTCCTCTATCGATTCGTCGAACGTTCTCTTTCAGGCTGTTATTCACTCTCAGGTTATGAATCGGGTGCCGAGCTCGGGCTCAGCTCGAGTCTCGGGCATTCTCCTTTAGAACGAGTAGGTCACAAGACCGAATCGGGTGTGAACCTTTGCAGCACCCGAAGAAAAAGGTACCAGGGGCATGTCAATTCAAAAGCTCTATTGGTCCCTCGAAGCGAGCCGGCGGAGAATATCGGTGACGCTATTTCGTCCTCGATAACGGGAACTCCGGCTCGACGTCGTCGCTGTTGTTGTTGACAAGCTCTGGTCAGGTGTTCGCGAGCCTTAACAGCCTGTAATCGGAATAATAGACGCGGAAGCAGGAACAACAAGCAATTCCCCACCTGATTACCCGGCAAGTTCCGGTCGGGCCCCTAGAGGTTGAGAGCCTTCCGTTCGGCCAGGCGTGCACTTCCTCCAGCCGGGGCTTCTCCCCGTCTTGTCTACGAAAGGCTCGATCGTAGAGGATTGGTGGATGAGGTTCCCGTAGGTGGGAGCAGGGGCGAGGAAATGAGGGACGAAACGGAGTCCTGCGATCCGAGAAGCACTCTATCAAGTGCAGAAGAGCGGGATACGAGTCAAGCTGAACGAGAGGTCTATGAATACATAATACGTGTAACGGCAGAGGGAGCCGCACCGCATCGAACCCCAAGTCCTCATGGCCGAGCTTCCCGACGGTGCAGCCATCTTCTATTTCTTGCCATTCCCGCACGACCGTAGAGGTGTGCGCTCTGGGTCTGCTCGCTGAGTTTCATTCCGTTTCGTTCCTCAACCATGATCTTCGGTATTTGGCCTGTTGTTGAGGTTTTGGGAACGTGATGAAAACTTCTGATGGATCACTTGGAAGTTATACAACACTTTTTGTCAAGACAACACAAGCGATACTTCCTGCTCGAGATAACGACCACCTTCAGTATTCATCTCTCTTCATTGGTTTTTGCGTTTTCCACACAGTCGCGCATCAGCGAGCAAGCAAGTTTTTGCGGTAGTCCGCGGGCATTTTTGAACGCTTCGGGTACTCAGAAGTCTTTCCGGCATTTGGAAAACCAGAAGCGTCGACCCTTCTCCGAACAGTGCATATATCATGACCCCTCAATTTTCTTCTCGGTCCGTCGAGAGTTTGAACTTGTCCGGCAGGGCGGAGGGCCTCCGCTCGGCTCCGGCTCAGGAACTCTTCGCACGAGCTGAACGTGAGTTGGGCCCGCTAGGGCCAGAGCAGCCGAAAACCATTACAGCTCCGAGCCGAATACGTGTAGCCCAAAACCGTGTCATAAACTTATGCTCCGTCTTGAAGTCCCTGTCTGTTCCCTGCCCCCGTCATTGCGAGACACGTATACGGCAGCATATTGTCGCTGTATAACGAGTCCACGTGTCTCGTTCGTGTCTGAAATGCGGTGGTAGAATTATCTCGCTGCGGCGCGAGCCTCAACGAACGTCATGTCGTACTCCGTGCGAATTTGGACGAGCTTCTTTGGAATTTTAACTGTCAGCCTAACATACGTATATCGAATATTATCGACTCGGCACCGACATCATCGTCCGATGCACCAGCGTGATTCGCGATTGGAATCGACACCGCGAGGAGCTGGCTCGCTCATCGGACAACAGGGACCTGCTGGTATCCGCCACCGAAATGAGAAGCTAATCGGAAAAGTTCTGCAGGACAGCGCTGGCTCGCGAAGGAGAACTCTTCTGTCTTCTCCCGGGCTCTGCGTCCCGGCATCTCCGAGCGGAGAAGCTCACGCAACCTTACGGTTCTTTCTCGCTTCAATGCTCCCGATTCAATGCATTGATGTGCGTGTCCGTATTCGCCCTGATTGAGTCACTCAGCAGCAGGAGGCCCTCTCCCCTCTATTCTCCATGGGCCCCAGCGGACGGAATCTACTCTTCTCTAAGGTGTTTCTCAAGTCCACCAAGCATTCGCGTAACTTGCAAAGATTCGAGAGCCCACTGACTGTCAGGCAGAGGACACAGTATCAATAAGTCCATGGGAAAAGGCGGATCTCGGAACGCCTTGAGGGCGGCTATGATCGGAGCGAGCGCTGAGCGTCGCCCGCGAGCGGAAACTTTCAGCCCCGTCTTCGAACCATTGAAGAATTTCTGAAGCCTGAGAGCGAGTGTGCTTCAGCTAGGCAGCTGCCCAGGATTGAGCGGTTCCTTTGCCAAAGAGGGTCGTGGGGGGAAACTTGAACTTTCCTGATACGTTTTTGAAAAGGCTGTCTCCTGAAACTTTGAGAGCGCATTGATTCACTGTGACTTCGCTCGAATCCCCGAAAACCACCCCGAGGCGTCGCGACTCCCGTGTCCGACCGAGAACGCCGATTTTGTCACGAGTCAGAACTCGATACTCCATCCCCCCCTCCCCCGCCAGAGGAACAGCGGGAAGGAACTGGCCCTCATCGTGGAATTCGTCTCCACAGCTTCCCACCGAAATTGATCAAGCAGAAACCGTCTCGATATCGCTGGACGCTCCGGAAGTCTGCTGGATAAGCCCAAACTCTAAAACCGCTTCCTCGGCAAGCAGCCAATTACTGTTCCTCGTCTCCCGTCCCCGGCGCAAGGAGTTCACCAGCTTGCTGGAATAATGCGATTCCTGCGCAGGTTGCGCTGAGTCCCCGTCCGAAAATTGCGTTTGGTAGTTTGCCAATCCCGTGGAAAATGAGACGAGAGAACCCAGCTGAGCGATCAAACAGCCGATCGTAGAACGGATCGATGCCTGAGTTGATGAGCTGCCGACGCTGAATGTGAGAACATTTTTGGCGGTATGTGGAAGCCTCGACATTCTCGTAACTACCAAACTCACGAGGTTTCCAGCACAGATAGATTATGATTTCCATGCGCGATATACAAGGTGTTGGAAGTTCTACGGAGCGTGCTGGAAAACGTCACAGGTTAGGCATTATTTGCTGCTGGAGGTGCGACGGCTGACCGCGGAGATATGGGCGATGTGCTCCAAGATCCCAAAATGCGAGAGTTGAATCAACAAGCGATGAAGGTTCCCGACTGCTCGATCAGAGCAAAGTTTCCCACTGCAAAGGCTTGGTAATGACTGAAGCTCACCGAGCAGCCATGGAACTAGGCCCAGTGTACTCGTCAGTGGGGCTCGGAGGGCTTTGGGCGTCGGGGAGGCTGGCATGGCCATCCCTTGGCCGAAAGATTCCCTTCTCCTCCTCATTTTCTGCAGCTGTTTGCCAGTGGTATGTGCTCGAACGCCGAGAAAGTAAACAGCCGTCTCTTTCTTTATCGTGGCCAATATCTATGATAATGATAGTAGCTGTCTGAACTTGTGATGTAGCCTGCAGCCCGGAATCCGTGGGTACGCCGTCCATCATTGATGCTAGGCGATGACTGAGAAAGCGAAAATCGACTCGTGCTTCACATGACGAGACGTAAGAACGCTCTCCTCGAGCCCATCACCGAGACGATGGGTGTCTCTTGACTCCGAAATTCCTAGCGCGGGATGGAAGTTAAGACTCTCGCCTAGGAGCTCGTCCCGCGCGCCCTTGGCTCACAACATGTTCGGAGGCAAGCTTGTTTAGTAAACCTATCAGAGAACCGAGAAGAGCTCACTTTGCACCCGACTCCCTCGGACAAGGATGATGACAGACAGGGGGACAGAAGTTGACACGCAGACTCCTCTTCCCGAAGTCGAAGGGCCGGGCTGGACAGGATGGGAAGAAAAGATGAAAGAAAAACCAAATACATGCTCGCCTGCGACGCCGACGGTGCCCACCATGGGAGAAACACACGGGACACTGTGGGGTGAGAACCACCGCCAGCGATACAGGTCATCGCCAGGTAACGATGTCCTACGCACGCTATAAGTTCTCAGCTGCAGAAGAAAACATGTCACACAGAGTTATTTATACAGCGGGAAATTCTCAACCGACGTTTCAAGCGAGTCAATTATCAAGTAGCATCTTCTCGCATTCCCTTTCCGCTGCTTATATTGCTGGCTGTTTTTTTCCGTGACACCCCATGAAAAAGTCGACATCTTACAATCAGGGTAGCTGCCGTCGGGAACCACTTCAACACGCGACCAAACACTGTGGGTAGACTCGGAACCCCTGGCGGGAATTTGGGTCCGGGATCATCCGGGTTCGGCTCGGATCCCTTTCGTAGAGCTCATGTGCGCCATCTCGGACACATGTCGCTCGATGCTGTTTCCGAGAAATCGGATGCTTCACGGAATATACCGAAACATATCCAGAAATAGCCGAACGCAGACCTTGTGTAACACAGAATTTAGGAGCATTCGCTAGAAAATCATTACGAGCGCCCTGAGCGTGTTGCCGCCGGGCCGCTCGTGAGCGGAACTTCGCCGCATCCCCTCGTCGTCGACGTAGAATTTTCATTTCTCTTGGACTCCAGCGATGGCGCAGCTAATTTCTCCGCTCTGAGCGGCTGGACGAACGTATCGATTGTTCGGGCAAGGCGTGAAAGCCGTAATCAGCGAACGACAGCGACCGAAAGGGAAGACTCACGCTTGCGAGCTCCATCACGGAGCGTTCCGTCCTCGCGAATCATTTCCACGAGTCCATGAGGTGCGCGCTTTGTTTATTATGATTTTATAATTACGATCCGAACGAAAAATTGAGCTATGCATGAAAATCGATGTTGATCCTCTCACTCCTCCAATTTCTGTCCGGAAGAGCGACCTTGCCCAACGGTTTGAAGAGACCCGATGCAACTGAGGCGGAACAAACACTGTCTTTTATTTTTTCTAAGCACGCGCAATTTCCTCTCATGGCGTCACCTATGACAGCTCCGCGAGTACTGCTGTTACAGGAATAGTGTAAAAAAGAAGTCGTCAGTATCAGGCGTCAGAAGGGGCAAAAGCAACGATAGCCGCTTAACGCAAAAAAAGAGCACAGAGGCTCCCGCTCCAGGAGCAACATCGAGCTCAAAAACGACACCGACGCGTGGTCGTGGGGTTTGACCAAACGGTCGCTTAA